CAGTCCAGAGGGAGGATTGCACGAGTGTGTGTGGAAAAACCTTTACCTAAGGAAGTGATAGTCAAGCTTTGTATTGTAGCTACAGCTAAAGAAATTAGATCGGATCACTCACAAGGGGACTGGCTACCCATGCAAGTGCCAGTCCAATGAAGAGGCTTGCATGGGATGCTGATATCCGGTCTGATCAACCGGACGCACTTGCGAAGTTTCACTACCTGTTGTGCAAACAGGACGAGCCTCATGAGGCCATCAAATTTGAAAAAATGTACCGCATCTACTTCTACATGATCTTGGCGCAGTTCAATTCGATCGAAACAAAGGTGTTTACAGGCTCAATCCTCCAGCTGTTATCACCAGCAGCATAACGACGACAAAAAAGGACGACAAGGTGTTCAACAGAGATGAACGGGCAAGCTGACAACCGGCTCAGACCTGCAACTACATGTGTGTTATACCGGCTGGTAAATCTGACAAAGGGACAGTCGTGATGGGCGAAAAGCACCGAGACTCGTACCCAATAAATCCACGTGATGTTTGGTAGTAGACCAGACTACTTTCCAAACCTTAAGCTCAGGCAAGGCGGCAATCCCATTATATCCCTGCCAGACAGCACCCAATTCTGCTGTATACATGGAGGTATATCAGACTAGTTTTCAGATGTCACCCGCACCCAAAAGTCACCCATCATCCAAGCATACCCGAAGTCATACAGTCACAGTATGATTTTCCTAGGCTGAACACTTCCTATATGACAGTTGCAGCATCACCACTGAAAATGGTGATCTCAATAATCACCCGGTCGGTGGGGGGTGGGTGGGTGGTAGATGGGTAGCTGGATAGATAGATTGGCAGGTAGACTCGACAGACAGACTGATAGACACAGACACACGCACAACTACATACGTACACGTGCACCTGCTACTTCAGAAGGCTTCTCGTAACAGCATAGACGTGTACGTAGTATGTACGTTCAACGTTACTCTGTCTTTCACACGCACCGGGAACGCTTTCTGAACATGTTTTTCTGAGCGACCCACATAGAGCAGTACGACCAGGGAGATGACCCCTCGCCCGGCCACCACTCCCAGGTTGTTGTCCTTGGAATTTCAAGGACTGGACGTGGAGGTGCCGAAAAGAAGGCGTTGCCCAAGGAGACCGCAAATGACCAAAAAAGGGTAGATCATTCTAAATCATTCTAGGCTCGAACAAACCCCGAATTTCGGAAGCCCTCAGCCGCTTGAGAGAAATGCAGGGCCTCTTTCTTCTGAGGAGTGCGCCATGGTGGCCCTGATCTCCCGGTAGGCTTCCTCGCCGTAGGCTCTACGCTGATGCCATCAGTCTCCCCATAGACCCCTAAGTAGTTCCTTTTTATGGTTTATATTTAGAACCCTATAAGGTAATCCCAAAAAGGAACTACTTAGGGGCCTATGGATCAAACGACTGGCATTGCGTGGTACGGGTATTGCCACGACCATCTAAGCTTCTCTCCCGAGGCCAGTCCGTGTATTTCTTGAAAAAACAGCCGAAGCGATAAATGACGCTCATGAACAGGCAACCCATGACAAAGAGGCGAACAACTTGTACACAAATAGAATAGACCCACATGGACAGATAAAGCGTGCATGTATGCATGGTGTGCATGTACTTGTAGGTATGCAGGCATTGTGTTTGTGTACACATGTAGCTGTGTGCTTATGAGTTTGCGCATATGATTTACACCAGTGTATGCACAGCACACATACACAGCTACACCTACTCACCTACAGATCATCTTAAGCGGGATCGAGGCCGGCGATGCAGGCTTTCCGCCAAGTGACGATTCCGTCGGTCTGAGACTTTCGCATCTGGCCTCGGAGGGGGTTCCAGGCCGGCTTTAGCATCCACAGAATCTGGTGCTTATGGTGGCGACGACGAGGCTGCGGTTTGACTCAACAAACTAGGCTCAAAGATGACGAACAAACGACCGGATCGAAAGCTAAGAGTTCGTGCGATTGCAGCTCTTGCTTTCAGACCTATTGCCAAACAACTGCTGTTGCAGCTGCAGTGGCAGTAGTAGTAGCGGGAGGAGGAGGAGATGTATAGAGGATGTAGAAGTAGTCTACTCGTAATGGTCGTCTTCGTCGGAGGTAGCAGAAGTAATGGCCGTCGTGGTGTGCCCAGTTTGTGTGCCCCACCTTCGAAGGCGCGCAGCAGCTGGTTGGCGCCACCTGGGCGCTGGTCCTCCTCCCACTCCTTCAATGCAAAGTCGAGGCATTGCCAATGGACAACACATGCATGTCTATATCTACACAACGCGCATCCAAAAAAGTGCACATACATGTCTATATATACACACACACTTATGCGCGCACACAACGATATGTAAAAATGCACAGGCTTTCATGCAGATGTTGTTCATATCGTATACGCACTAGAAGCATCTCTCACCATGGCCGTCTGCGGGCCGGCAGACGACTCCGCTCCTCCAGGGTCCAATCGAGCTCCACCTGAGGCGAATACTTTCCCACCGTCTATTGTTGGGCTTCCATCTAGTCCATTCTTCTAGTGGCAGCCGCTTTTTTAATTTGGTTGGTTTTCCGTTGACGATCTTTTCCTAAGAACTGGAGGTTTTGCTTCATTAGGTACAGGCCTTGACATTGCAACCTCCGGCACGGCGAGTACGTGAAACTGCCACTCGCCAGACAGGATTCGTCCAGAATACATCTCGGATGTACGAGCTTAGGTTTCTGTGTTCTCCGCAGACAGACGTTGAATCCGTGCGTGATGTGACAGAGTGAGAGCGAAAGGAAGAGAGAGAGAGAGAGAGAGAGAGCTCGGCGCCGGGCCGGTGAAGAGCTGGAAGCCTTTTTGGGGGCTTTCTTCGCCTTTGCCGGCTTGTGAAACTTTGATCAGCAGCTACCTTGATTCGAACTCCGACTTGCAGCGATCCGAGCTCCGAGCCTTGCCGCTGTCCTGCGAGCCGAGCCCTTCCCGCAACTAGAAGGATGCTAGTGACTGATATTATATCATAATATATCTGCTAGCGATGGGGAGCACATGCCCACGTTTCGTCCTTTGCAGCAGCTTTTCCCTTGGCCTCGCTCTTGCCACTCTCTGGTGGCTTCGCTTTGCTCTCCTGGCGCCCGGGGCCCGATTGGGGGCAACGGTTGGGGCTTCTCGAAGGCTTGCCATCTCCGTGACGTGAACACCAAAGCGCCTCGCTCGGGGGCGTTGGCGGAGTGTATCCTCTTGATCCAACAATTCTCAGAGGTTTTGAGAGAGACAGACCAAAAAAAGACGCGCCCTTGGCTCACCTCGCCCCAACTACCCCTCTCCTTTCTTGCCCAGGAGGATCAGGAAGGGCTCGATCAACTGGTCCAAGACGAAGCCGCACCTGCAAGGAGCAGGAGCCGAGGAGCCGCTGAGCCGAGCAGCCCCCCCCCAGCCCCCCTTTTACAAGGGGCCCAAGGCGCCAGATCCCACAGGCCACGGAGACGATGGGCCCACAAATCAGGACCAAACCTCAACCAAAAAAAGGGGGGGGGCGGAGCAGTATCTAAGTATCCGGATGGTCTGGGCCAGAAAAGCCTAGAGCTCTACAGATCCTGGCGCGACGGGCGGCTCCAGATGAAACTCAGGGCCCCGGCGGGACATCTTGCCTGAGAAGTGCTGCGCCACGAAGCCGTACAAGCAGAGGAAGAGGAAGCCGTTGTTGCGCCGCCCGAGACCTCACTTTCAGAGATTATTGACGAAGCCCTGCGGAAGGGCAGCAAGAAGTCGGGCGTGGGCAAACGAAGCCGCCGAGTACTGCATAGTCCAGCGGAAGGTTCAAGTAGCTGGCATACATGGATGGGTTGGCCTCACATTCCGACTTGCTCCATTTTTGTGGGGGTGGTGGCTCCTTTTTGTTTGAAGAGGCTCTGAGGACTGATGCGGGCTGATGCTCTGCCACCGAATCCACCAAGGGGTTCCCTGTCTTCGTATGCTTCACAAACCTGGGAGCGCTCGGCCTCTCTCCGTGCACACCGTGCTGCTGCTCCTGGGAGCTCTGCAACCCTCGTATTCTCGAGGAGATTGGACCAAAGTACCTTCAGTCCGGCAGCCCCCCATCCCTTTTAAGAGCAGGAACTTCGCAAGCCATGGGTCACCCGGTCGGGTACAACGCGGCACAAACTAGGAGAGTGCAGACGATCAGCAAAGCCACGACCTCTTGCACTGAGGGGTGGATTTCAAAAGAGCAAAAACCCAAAACGGAAGGGCACCCAACTGAGCCCTGGCTCTGCGCCTTTGCGCGGTAGATGGCAAACTCCATGGCCTGCATCTTCTGCCTTCCATGTCCCCGAGGCTCCGAGAGCAAAGAGGGAAAGAGGAGCACGCCCCCAAAGGAGAGCACCTTCTTCTTTGGAAGTCGCAGAAAGCCAACACCTCCCCAGTCTCAGGGCTCTGCCCCCTAGAAATAAGGAGCGAGATAGGATCAGAAAGGAGGATCGATACAGGATCACTTTATCCTCTTAGTACCTTCGGATTGCACTTGAAAGCGAAAGGCCAGGCCCCCCGCCTGGAAGCCCATGAAGACCATCAGCGGCCCGAGCCTCAAGCTGACTAGGCCGACTAGGCGCGGAGATGCGCGGGGTGCCCCGTACGGGCATCATACAAAGCAAGAGGTGCAACATAAAACAAAACAAGAAATCCCCCCCCCACCCTCCATCTCTGCTCCCTTTTCTATAGAGAGGGTACAGCGTGGCGTGGCGTAGCGTTGGTGATCGATGGAACTCTCTCGGATGAGCGGCTGTTCGACGGAGCGCAGCGGCTGGAGGCCCACCACCGGGATCTGCATCGCCCCCAGGACACCCACCTCAGCACACACGCTTCTGTGCTCCAGCCTCTCAAAGCTGCTCGACTGTGCAGGCCACCACGTAGAAGATGCTGTAGGCCTTGTGGACCTGCCACTTGGGCCAAGGACAAAGGCGAAGCCCCAAAAGGGGGGGCCCCGACGCCGGAGTTGAATCGGCCCAAGGCGACCAGCATCGCAGCATGGATGCCGACCCTCGGGGGAGCATTTGCTTTTTTGTAGCGGTTCTTACGGCATCGCATATGTCGCGTGGCAGCCGAGCTGCATGTTGATCACGAAGATGTAGCCTCCCCAAGCCTCCGTGTCATCTTCACACAGCGCGCGCTTGCTTGGAGGCTGAATCTCTCTTCTGCTTCTAAGAGAGCGGCCGCCACCATGTAGATGTAGGAGAGGCCTCAGGAGCGACTGCTGCGGAGCAAAAACGCCAAGGAGCTGCGCGCTGCTGGGCTGGGGAAGCCGACACACCGAACAAAATCTCGGCCAGGGGCCGGCCAGCAAGCCCACGGGCCAGTGCTTCGGCGTCCGAACGCTCAGAATCCACCTCACTGAGTGCTGGGGAAAGAGGAGTCTGAACACAAGACGTACTCTGTCTAGCATGGTCGTCCACTACTCAGCGTCCTAAGAAACCATCACAAGGGTTCTCGAGGACGGCCGGTGCCAGCTGTTGCTCGCCGAGCGGCAGCCAAAAGGTGGAGCAGATGGCAGTGACCGCCACGGCTTCGTTGTCGAATTCCCCTCCTACGGACCTGGGAACAGCGCGGTTGAGCTCACATATTGAAGGAAGGTCATTATCCCTGCGTGTACATAGTCTCATGCTTGTTGGCGAGCCCGCCACCTCATCAGGTGTGCAGGGATGATGGCCATGATCAGGGTGGCGCAGACCCCTGCGTTCACCTCACAGCTCCAAGGGAGGCCGCCGTTTCCGGAGAGGGACTCTCCTCTTTTGGGCTCGCTGATGGCCCCGACACTCCGGGAGATCTCGTAGGTCAAGAGCCCCGTGAAGAGGGACCTGCAAGATCGTGCCCATGGCTCCCAATAGGGAGTGTCTAGCCCCACAATGCTGATCATTAAGAGCCTGGCGCATAGGTGCCGAACCAAGGCGGGATCATGCAGCAGATGTCGTTGACACCTTTAAGCGACCAACAGTCTCCACCTTAAAGCCTTGACGAAAGCTGGGATAGCCGGCTCATGGGGCTGAAGTCGTACGAGGGCTTCAAGGAAGGCCTCGGCGCTGAATTCTGAGAGCCCTCAAAAAGAGAGGCCCTTCGAGCGACCTCTGAGGTTCCTGCACGAACTTCCAGCCAGATTGCTTCAAGTAGGAGAGCAAGGGCCTCCAAGGCTCCCGTCCGTCCCCCGGCTCCGATCTTTTTTGCTATCCCCTCGGTGCCTCAACGCCAAGACCAGGGACGGGGTCTCCACCTTGAAGCTGCCAATCATCTTCATGGCCTCCCAGCTGCGAAGCTCTCGACAACAGGCCTTTCCACGCGGCCTTCGACGTGCGCTTCCAAGCCGAGCCTCCCAGATCCACACCGCAGTCATCTGCATGCCGGGGTAGATCCTGATCGCAGTGCAGCACACCACTACCGGTGCAAGTATATCATGTTGTGGCACATTGTCGCTGACGCACGCGCCAAAGACCGTGCCGCATCGGAGCCGAGTCTCCGGTGCTCTCTACTCAAGACGATGTGGCATGTTCGAGCATGTCACAGAACATAGCGGGCAGCATGTTTCAGACACCCACACACACAGACTCCCCTCTCTCTCTCTTGCTTGCTTGCTATGCGTACGGAGGTTAGGGCTCTCTCCCTCTCTCTCTCTTGCTTGCTTTCTTGCTGGGCGTGTGGGGTCGGGGATGCAAGCCCGGGCATTGCCGAGGTGTGTCGGTTGGCCCTCATAACAACTAACTAGAGTCACTAGAGCAGTTTGCAGGCTAGCACGCCATCGAGGCAACAAGTTTAGTTGCAGGCCCCGACAGGGTGTTGGTTTGGAGCTCTGTGGCACGGGTCCTGCCGGGTGTGGAGGCAGTGCGTGGTGTTTCTTTGCCTTGCTCGGGTGACCCGCGCTCCAGGCGCTCCCACATGATCTCTCTCTTTCTCTCTGTCTCGGGGCTTTTCTCGAAAGTTTTGCCCTATCTTTACGTCCGTATGTTCGCCCGCTCCTTTCTTCATGTAAAGCAGACGCGCCTTGTTTTTAGCATGACGTGACACGCGTAAGCTCTGTATCAACAGGCTGGTGGACCCCTGCAACTGTTGAGATGCGGCAGGGCTCAAGCTGTGCATGTAGCCGCTGTAGCCCAGTATTAAGCTTCGTGTATGGTGTGTATACTTCGCCTCGGGTAAGTCTAGTGTGTGACAAGCCGCCATGGTCGATAGCCCCTTCTGGTCTCCAAGCTAGTTGCAAAGACAGAAGAGCACACGAACATGAGCAGATCGCAGTATGCAGATCCTGCAGCGAAATTCACGTCCAAAGGGGGCTTTGGGGCTGCGGCGTTGTGCCGATGGGCCGCCCGAGTGGATACCAGGACTCGTAGTCATACCACTGGAAGAATTTCTTCCTGGACCCGGCAAGCTCCTGACTGCTCGCCGCTGGCCTTCGACTCTGAGGGTGGGACAAGCCGTTCTCTGCGAGGTATTCTGCAGCCCGGTAGTTGAACCAAGGATCAAACCTCATGGCTCGAACTTAAGCGACGGATGTCTTATTCGACGAAGGCGCTTTTCAAGCCCGCGGCTCATGGATGATGTAGCCATAGTCCTCGAGAGAGCGAGAGAGAGACGTTCCTGTAAAAAAGGGCCCTCGGAGTGTTCGCGCGCAGCCTTGATGGGATAGAGGCGGATCTCGTAGGCTGCGTATGCACCTCGCAGAGGTTCAGGGCAAGGGAGCACAAAAGCCTGTCGGCAGATGCTGATCGCGCGGCCGTAGAGAACGAAGAGGATCTGCACGAGGATCAACACCTGGCTGCCCCACCAAAAAACGTAGAGTGAATCAAGACCACACGCACGCTGAGTCAAAGGCGGCTTTAAAGGCTTGCCGGAAAGGGAAGAGTAGCGCACTCCTGAGCAAAGGGTGCAATGACAAATGTGGGCTCCGCTTCCAAAAGGGGCCAAGCGCCGGGCATGGCTCCAAGGGCCCCAAAATTTTGCTCTCAAGGTGTCCTATAGGCTGCACGAGACCGGCCCAGGGCGCCCAACGGGGGGGGGCCGGGTCCCGGCCCGAAACGCCCGAAACACGGCGACCCCCGGCAAAACTGGGCACCGCTTGAGCCGGAGAGAAGAACCATAGGCGCCTTCTTGCGGAGTCTCAGCTTCAAGGTCGCAGAATGTGCCGACGGCAGACTCTGCGCTTTCGGAGCCACGTGCAGTGGAACTTCGCGTCGAGGGTAATTAGGTGAAAGCATAATGGAGCGGGGTGGACCACAGCCTCTCTTCCCGCATGTAAGCTCAGACTAGCTGATGGCACCAAGCTCTATCGCGTGCTGAGGATGACCTGTTGTGTTGTGCCTATTCCTTGCATGCGATATATTGAAATCCAGCCCCGCTGATTAATGAATCTTGAATCACTCATTTCCACGCCACACTATACTCATCTCCCGGCAAGCTATAGTTCCTCTGTCGCAGAGAGTGCAACTGCTATGACTAACATGTTCAATTCAATCCAGGGGTGAGGATGGAGCCCCGAAGGACCTCACATCAAAGCTCGAGAGCTCCACTTCCTCCAGGCTCGCCGGGGCGAAACGTGAGTGGTTGCCAGGCGACTCCTTTTCACCTATCAAGGCTGTCTTGAATCAGGTTTCGGGCTCACAGTGCCGAGCAACGCTTTGCGAATGGCTCTTCCGCCAAGTGCTTTCAGCAGAGGGCCTTCGGTCAGCAACACCAGCCCCGCCATCATGCCAAGGATGCAGAGCACGTAGCCACCGAGCTTCCACCAGGGAGCCTCTCAGAGATGGAGGCAGCCACAAGCAGCTCACGGTAGCCCTATGCCAATGCTCCGTGAGGAACACAGCAACACGCCGACGCGCTTTGACTGTCCAATCGGCTCAAGGATCCTTTTGGTTGGCATCGGGGTAAGGTAAAGCTTCGCGGGTGGAGTATAAAGCGAGAGGTCACGGTTCTGACAGACGGCATGTGGCGAGACGAGCTAAAACTGGAGCTCTCAACAATTTCGTCTTGTACTAAACACAAAACCCCAAAACCCCTCTGTTCGGGATCCCACTATGCCCCTGTGCTTCATTTGGAGCATATATCACCGGAGCGCCGAGAAGGAAAGTTTCGTTAGCATGCCGTCCGAGGCTGTTTCGATGATGGCAGTCTAGGTGGATTTTCTATGATGCCAATATCTCTCGTGCTGGAACCGGTGTTGGAAACTTGTCGTCGCGAATTTCCCTTATCGCAATTCAAGTCGTTTTGCAAGTCCACTCTGGGCTTTGTCGACCTTGGCCGTTTGCTCCATGGCACCATGACGGTTGGCCTTAGCCTCTAGCAGCGCGGTTGTTCTGCTCATCTGCTGGTGCATTAGGGATTCTTCGAAGGAGCTGGTGATCTCTTGCTGGTTCTCCTGTAGGGCTTGTTGAAGTGCCAACGTCAAGGGTTGATCGGCTGTCCAGGCTACTGCCTTCCCCGGTCTCTTCGCGCTGCCTGTTGGGGTGGGCAACCTCCATCGATTGGGCAGCATTTGGTTCCATGGCCATCGTGCTCGGTGCCTTGCAAGTGGTATCAGCTATCTAGTGGGTTTGCTCCGGACTCTTTTCGATGCATATCATCGCAGGCACCTGCTGCGGTTCGCCGCAGGGTCCCCTTGAAAATATGGAGTTTCCGTATTCTCCCATTGGGCCGTGACACCGAAGAGCGTGCCAAACGCATCGCGGCGCTGTATAGTAAGCCTGCGATATGATCAATCGAGTGCTCTTGTAATGCCACACTGCATGACAAGCCAATGCCCGCGGCTTCTTGCTGCTTGCACGTTGCCAAATGGTTACTGATTGCAAGTCCTTCGCGACTTTTGGCGTTAGCCAGGGTTGCTTTCCGCTCCTCGTTGGCCCCTGCGGTTGGCCATCCCGCCTCACCCAACGCATGTCCACTCCGATCCAGACCCTATCGGCCGGCGAAAGGATGACTCGACCCCAGATGTGCCGAGCCTTTTTGAGCAGGTCTTGCTTCCAGCTGGATTATGAATATGTATATACATGGGGCTGAACCGAAATACTTTGCGAGACGGCGCGCGACGCAGCTGAAGATACCGAACTTTTTCCTCATCCGTTGGAGCAGCGTGCCTTTGACTGCCTTCGGCGCCAAGTCCTTACCCTTGCAGACGTTGAGGTGGGTGATGCTCTCGATGTCGGCTAAACTCTTGCTGCAGAGCAAACGAAACAAGAAGCGAATATCGATAGATAGATAGATAGAATAGATAGATAGATAGGCTCCAGCACGTTTTCATTCCAGACAGGTGCCGATGTTTTTGGTGACACGGCTGGCGTAACGAGTCATGCAAGCGAATATCCCATCCTCACCAGACCGCTTGCAGCCGCGATTAGCGATTCGCTCCAGGTGCCCAGGACAACCTTTTTTTCTACAGTTGTTGCAAACAGGTGCACAGAGATGCCCATAACCATCCCATGATATCGAATTGTGTTACAATTGGGAGTCTGGTGCTGGGTGCCGCGATGTAGTGCTGGAGGGGCAACGAGGCAGAGTGGTTAACATGCTACCACACCCTGAGTTCGCAATCGCTGCGTGCTCATTGGCTTTCATATCTGCGATGGCTGGAGGATTCCAGAGGAAAGCTTGCGCACTCTGCAAGATCTGGGCTTTCCTGTATGGACAGGGCACGGACCCCGACATGCGACGAAGTTGCACAGAAGCTGCAGCTTTGCGGTTTTTGTTGGGGCCGCGGCGGCCTCGCAAGGCGTTTCTTACGGACGCTGCGTTCCGAGTCCGAGATAGAGCGAGAGAGATCATGATAATGAAGGTGATGATGATGATCACTACCACGATGCTGATCAGGATGACGACCGGTGGTGTGCTTGTCAGATACGCCCGCTTCTCCTGGTTATGCTCTGCGAAGTCATAGTGTGGTCTTCGTGTGACTTATGCATATAGGCCTGGCATAGGCAGGAACTACCGTCGCCATAGTTGCTCTTATGCTGAGAATGCTGGTTTTCAGGGTTGCCATGGTTAGAATCCTGCGTTACTATCACGGTCATGATTATGAATATGGCTGCCTGCACCATGTTTGAAACGGCTCAGTGCATGTGCTGTTTCGGATGCTTCTGACAATGTTCTTCAGGATTGGCTCTTCAGCGACTGCTCTGCGTCTTGGCAGTCACGGCCTCATCCATCTCTGCCAGGACGACGATAGCACTGAGGCTGTTGGTGACGATGTTCGACCCCATGAAGACTGTGACCATGAAGAGAGCCTGCCAAAATTACAAGACCGTCGCCATGAGAAAGCGGAGAAGTTAGGCTCACATCTTTGGCAGTTGTGAGTGAAATCGCGGAAGTGCTGCTGCGTGCTTGGATCTGGACATCATGTACCTAATGATGTCCCTAAACTGCCTGGGATCGGGTCGCTCAGAGAGCAGTGATTCAAAAGCCTAAGCCCGCTCATGGGACCGGGCCTCGTAATGCTGCAGACCCAGAGAGATGAAATAGAGGTTCGTGGTACCTGACAGAAGGAGGCCAAAAAGGGGCGCTCAAGAAGCCAGGAGGATGACTTTGGGGAGCTCCGAGCGGCTGAAAAGGATCGCGGCAGTGGTGGCAAACCAGGACACGGGTTTCGTCCAAGCCAAACAGTTCCCACCGAAGCATTGCTCCAGCAGCACAGCCACCTCGGCTGGTCCGGCTGGCAACAACACTTTCCGCTGCAAGCATGCTGCAGCCGAGGGGCAATCTTCGTGCACCACATGTTCCCTGCCAGCGTGCCTGTCAAAGGGATGCGGCAGAGCTCCGTGCAGCAAAAATGGCCCTTTTTCCTTTTTCAGCCTGCAGTTGCCCCGAGGGAGAAGCCGCGGACTGCAGAACCGCTGGGATACTTCATCAAGACCAGGGTGTTGAAGAGGAACCTCAGACAAAACGGAGGAAAGAAGAAGGAACTCAGAGAGGGAGGCTCGGGGTGCCGCTTTCCGGGGGCCTTCCGGGGCCCCGGCCAGCCAGTGAAACAGAGACCGTAGACCATGGTCCGTGACTGCAGAAGGACATGCTGAACGTACTCAGCACTCCAGTTCACGTCGTTGATCTGCCGGAAGAACACCTCAAGAGGAAGCATTTTCTTTGCTCCGAACTGTGCTTCTTCATAAGCAATTGGGGCCCAGGCAGAGGTCGTGGCGGTGAAGAAGATGATCGCGGCGCTGAAGAGCCGCCGGGGCGTCAGGGTCTCTCCCAAAGAGCAGGGCGCGATCAGCGTGTTCCACACAATGTCCTGCAGGGAGTGGCGGGACCCCCCAGCCCCCATTTTCGCCACCGGCCTCTGGCCCCAAAAAACTCCTGACAAAAGCAAGACCCTTATAAGGCTGTTCAGTCAACCGGATAAGAGAGCTTTATGGGGAAAGGGGGCTTTGTTTCTTTTTTAGGGAGCGTGGGGCGGGGGAAGGAAGGGGGTCCATGCCGGTCACCGGGGCGATGACCGAGGCCGGCGCCAGCGCGTAGCCGGCGACGTCGCAGGCCGGGTTCAAGGCCACCTGGAGCGCCAGGCCTCGGCGAAAGGAGGAGGAGCCCCAAAAAAGAAGAGACGGGGGGGAGCCGAAGCCTAAGCCTAAGCCTATCAGAGCCCCCAAAAGAGCCCCCAAAGGGCGCCGCAGTTCCGACGAAGTGGACAAAGGGGGGGATCTTCCAAAAGAGCCTAAGAGCCGGCGATGAGGAGGAAGTTCCCCTCCTTCTGCTTCCGCCTCTCTTTGGCCAGCTTGGAGCAGCGAACCATTTGCTTGCCGATGGTGCCGGCCAGCGTTCCGAGGACGGCAAGGCATACCTTCGAAAACCAAAAAAAAAAGGCGGACACTCACACTCCCCTGACCAAATAGGCAAACTACTAAAGAGGCCTTAGGGTGCTCTTCTCGCCCAGGTGCTCCCAGAAACCAATAAGAATTGCTGTTACCTTCTGGTAGCACTTGGACTTCATTGCCCGTTCCAGACACATTCATTCCACAGCTGCTGCGAGCATCCCATCACAAAGGGGCGGGACTCGCAGTGCTCCGGGTCTCTGCAGCCGAAAGCTTTTTGCCACCATGCATTTTCAAGCAATGCATTTTCTGGCTACCAGTTCCCAGCAACAGGCAAGAGACCGCAAACGACCGTAGTGATGAGCTGAGGGCCCTTAAGAGCTTTCATGTTGTTTGGGTGGTCTCGTTATGATAGAACTCTACCCTAAGGAGCAATACAGGTAAGGCAATTATCCAGGCCCCTCCCCCTACTACTATTCTGCAGCCTTCGGTTTCTTCGGTTTCGGGGTCTTTGAAGGTTTACAGGAAGTAGAGCTTCGCCAAACCAAGCCCTCAAGCCCTGCTTGGCCTACCGTTCGGCATCGCCTTTCTGGGGTCGCCTTTTGAGGAGAATCCTAGATTGGCAATGGAGCCACACAGTTTAAATCAATTAGACCAGCACTCCAAAGGCCTGCGGACTGTTTCCAGGGAGCTGCGGCTGCGGCACCGCGGAGCTCAAGCCCCGCCCCATGGAGTCCCTTTGGTGTCGCTCCGAAGACGCGCCGAAGACGCAGCGCATGCGGCATGTCTCTTGCGAAAGCAGGCAGCCCAAACCCAAAACCTTCCATCCCATCCCAGCATGCTTGTCTCGAAGACTTCGAAGCACATGCAACTTGGCTTCTAGTCGTCAAAGATGAAGAGCAAGTGCTTGATCGCTGGATCATCTTTATGATTTTAGCCAGCTCCCTGCACTCTTTAGACCCAGCCTTCTATCGCCTGCTGTCGCCTGGACTGCTTGAAGAAATGCAGAGAAGACAACCTCTAGGTTGTAATCACCCGGAACTTGGCAGGAGATTCGAGTAGGCCGAGGACGCCATGCCGAAGAGAGTCAGTCAATGTCAGTCATGTAGGGGAAGGCGGCGGCTCTGCGCCCCGTAACCACCTGTTTGCACTTCTCTGAAATGGATGAAGCAAAGAGCACCCTCGCGGATCCAAGGCAGGTTGACGGCGAAAAGGCCATCAGGAACATGAAGCTCACGATGCTTCTCAAGGCTTGCAATGAAAGCCTAAATCCACCCGTGAAGACGACATCTACTTTCAGGCGTTCGACAGCCCTCTCGATATATCGGAGACGGCCGTTTCGGACTGTATCCTACCTTGCACCTTGATCACGATTCCAGCCTTCTCCAGATGCTGCTGCGTTCCACTGCTAACTCCATCCAAGAATTTGCTGCCGCAGCAATAGTAAAGAAGCGCTGCTGTTTTCGCAGTCTGAATTAAGAGTCTAAGTGGGAGCTGAAGGCAATGATCAGGAGCCTGTGACATCTGGGTCCAGGGCCCATCATGACAGCCGTTGCCCATACCGGCAATGTAGGAGCTGGGAAAATGCTGCTGGCTCAAGGCCAGGCCTCACCATGCGCCCAGTTCTCAAAAGCCGTATCGTGTATAGGCCAGTTGGTAATCGTATTTCTCATAAGGCGTTGATTGAGCAATCTCCAAGCCAGCTGAATGAATCACAAAGCCTTTCCCACCGTTTAAGCCGTTGACTGCTTCTAGGTAAGGCTGCAAGATCCTCCCGTCGCAATCGTCCTCCAGCGCGTTGGAGACGACTCCATCGCGGTTGGAGTTTCTGTCGCGGTACTCAAACACGCTCCCCAGTTGCAAGTAGCCGGGTTCTGTCGCATACCAAGTGCATGGTGGCAAGGGGGCATGCTCTCGCATCTTGGCGCGGGAAATGCCCGCAGCTTCCTTTGAGGCGCTACAGCCACTCCCTTACGGGGCATCCACGGCGCGAGCCGAAGGAGCAGCTTAGAGGCTTAGAATAGACGGTGCATCACCTGGGAGGCATTGGCCTGCAGCGGCTCAGTTTGGGCAGCCGGACTGGTCGAACTTCTCGGCCTCCTGCGGATTCTTCTCCTGATCGTCCCATTTTCAGAAAGACACTTCAGAACCCTTTCCTCCCGCTGCCAAGAGGCCAAGTAGAGCTTCGTCCTCCCAGGGCAGAGGCACCTCGTGTTTTGGGGGAGAGGAAATGCTTTAACGTGCTCAGCAGCTCACAGCTTTTTGGCCGAGATGCTGCGGCTCCGAGGGGCTCTCCTTCTTGCACCAGTCCGGCTGCCCCGAGTCCTCGCAAAAAGGGTCTCGAAACAGCCGAGTTAACGACGAGCTTTCGGCGGGCCTTGCAGAAGTCGTGGCCCAGGGACTGGAAGCCGCCTCGCCTTTGGTCTTCAACCGATAGTCTCTCTCTTGAGGCCGAAAGTTTCAGTCGTTTCCGGGCATTTCTGATCCCTCTGAGCGCTGTCTCCACTCCGGCGCAGCCGAGGCGCAACATGACGCAGTGGCTCGGGTCTTGAGCACACGCATTGCCGGCATAGAAGGACCCCTGCACGCAAAGCCATGATGATGCATGCCATACTGATGACAGTCGTATTCATGTGTCGTACATCTATATACGGCTTATATGCAGTACTTGGTGTTCGGGCAGCACCCTGCCTTAATGAGAGGTGCTTCCAGGAATGAGGCGAAGCGGCAACGCCTGCAAAGCCGGTGCGGCAGCGTCAAAATTCGATGTTGCTAAACGCGTCTTGCGTACCCATAGGCCATATGCCATAGGCTCCAAAGTAGTTCCTTTGGGTGGTTTAAAGTTAAAATTTAGAATGCTATAAAGTAACACCAAAAAGGAACTACCTTGGAGCCTATGGGTAGGTTGACTTTTGCTCTTCTTTTGACGACCTTTCCTCCCTGTCTCTGTCCGTCGTCTTTCTTTCACCAGGCTTGCGGGCAGGGGACGGCTGTTGGTTGGCGGTATATGCTATATAGGTGGTAACCGCAATATCGCCTCAACTTGGAGCAGCAAACATCGATAAACTGAAGTCATCACCTCCAGCATTATCCTAGTGACAGAGTTTCTTCTTCTTCTGTGGGGCGTGAGAGACTGTTAAGGTCCCCCCGGCCCCTGGGGCCCCCCTTAATTAATTTCAGAGGCATCGGAGGGGCGTGGGAACATGTGCAGTCTCCTGGAGCGTAGGCAACGAGAAAGTTGATGCAACGAACGGGCAAGCCGTTGACCCTACTGGGTGAGACTTCCGAAACTGGGGTCGAGCAAAGTCTTGCGTCGGTTTAGTTTAGCTCTGCCCCTGGAAAGGTACGAAGGATTCATAAGTCCATCGTGCAGTGACCGAGGTTCGTCTCGGACGGAACGATGATGCCCTGCAGCATCAGCTGCTGCGGCAAGCAAACGACAAGTCAGATGACAAATCTTTACAACTCATGGTAAAGGATCGTCCCTGGTCGTGCATTGAAGAGAATCGGAGTGTCGAGGGCCGCCGAATCACGCTTAACGAAGCGGAAGGGGCGGCTTGGGTTGCAGGCTCCCCCGCTGCTTCAACTCAGCCAAAGGAGAGGTGTGACCGGGAGCCGCTAGCTCTCTCCCTCTCCCTCCCTCCCTCCCTCCTCTAACCCTAAACTTCTAAACCCTAAACCCTAAACCCACCTCTTGGTTTTCTGTCTTCTTGTCGGAAGCAGGGGGTCCTGGGCCCACACCACAGGATCTCCAGGCCGTGACCTCCCACAGCAGGCTCCGGCACGGCCAACAGCTCCCCGAGCTTACGGCGCATCCTTGCAGGCTGTGCAGCTGGCTTCCCCGTGCTCGGCGATACGTAACACTACATTGCTTATGTATATAGAACTATATAACAGTATAAGTATCGTGGTTCATTGTGCAAAAGCAACATTACCAAATATGACATGATACTGCCTGATGCTCTTGCACACATCTTTGACACCTAATAGAATTGAATGTTCATCCATGACATCTTATCAGACCACACTGCAGTACATTACCTTACACAATGCTGCAACCCCTTAACCCCTGTAGTGGTTTATGTGTCATTACCTTACCTTGCATTACACTACATTGCATGACATTGCATCACATGATATTATATGAAAAGCTAGAGTACTGTACTACATCGCGCTGTGATATATCATGGCGTACCATGCTATGTTGTGCTATGCCATGGATGCGGTGATGTGCTAGAGTACCGTACATTGCCGTGCATTGCACTGGCCTGTCTTATCTTCCCGTAGTACAGTACACTGTTTCAAACGGTCTGATATTCTACCCTGTACTATGCTGTTCTGTTCAGCTTCGCTATACTGAGAAAAACCGGACCGCATGATTCCTGTTGTTTGTAAGGATACAAACAAGACTGAACAATATGATACCTTCTTATACTAGGCCATACTCCGAGTATCCAACTTTGTGCTACCTTGTTTATCCTATCTTATCTGATCTTATGAAACATTTGTGTGCATTATATTCCTCTATTGGTTACGCTATATTCTACTATACAATTGTTGCATGGTGGTATATCTGCAAGTTTTGCTTTGCAGTATATCACGTCCCACCTTGGTAGTCTATAGTATATTCTATTCGGCTGTCTTTCCTCTCCTGTATTTTCTATTGAACCATGTTTCACACCTTCCTTCACTCCTCTATGTTCTTGCCGCGTAGTTCGCATTACCTCCAGTTTTCGCATGACGGTATTATCCTCGGTTAAACTTTTTATATATCTTTCCCTACCTCATCTTATGTCATGTTCGAAGATATTCTCAGACTCTTACCATGTCTTGCCTGATCGCATCTTATTCAAGCGTGTTATGAGTTCTCTATGCATATCAAGCCATTGCGATACGCAACTGCAGGGTGCAGACCCTGATTAGCTGGTGCAGGGAAGAAAGTCCAGACAAGCCCCTCATAAAATCTCCAAGCGGCGGCTCGATGGCTCATGAGCCGCCTCGACGACAGCGCCGCTGTTCTTTTCGAATCTCTTGGAATCTGAGCCAAAGCTGGCCGAGAACGCAGGCGCGGCAGAGTGTCGAGGGTAGCCGGTGGCACGGTGCCGACGCAAAAAGCACAGCTACAGGGAATTCGGAGCCTCTCTTTCTCCGATTCTTGCGTCTTGCGGGAGGTAGGTCCCTTTGAAACGCTTTCAGAAGTTGGACAAAGCCAAGTGGGGGAAGCCAGCAGGGCTTGTTGGGCAGGCTGCTCTTCGTCGCTGCTTTGCCCTCGCAGGGTGTACCTTCGTCGAAGGGATTGAAAACCATAGAACCTCTCGCCGCCTGCTTTCACCGCCAGGTTGACACATGCTTTTGCACCTCGCATTGCCATTGGGGCAGGCTTGTCCATCCGACAATCCCTCTCAATCGCTCGCAAGGGGGCAGAGAGCCCCGCTTGTCTAGCCGACAATCCGGGATACTCCCAAGCAGCTCCTGGGAACGTCCTGGGTTCTACAGGACCCCAAGAAGCCTTCGATTTAATTCAACGTGTGAGTCAGAAGACTCGGGTCACGAAGGTAACAGGCTTCGCCGCCGCTGTGCATTTTGCATCTCAAGGGCGGGCCGATACCAACGCAGCCGCAATAAGCGGCCTCTGCACATTTAGAAATTGAGGTACGGGGGCCAGCTGCTTCAGAGATATTGGACTATCGAAACTCATGCAGCCGGCACCCCAACAAAATCTGCTCGCATCTCTGGACTACATAAATCACAGCAAGGCCAGGAAGAGGCCCGCCAATCCCAAGCCAATGGAGGCCGCGGAGGAAGTTGCGCTTTCGGGCAGAGTGGGTGGCTGATCCGCCCATTCGCTCGGGGGCTTGCACTCGATCGTCTCCATCATCGTGCCCATGCAGACAACGTTGTGTGTCTCTGAGAAGCCATGCGCCACCACGTTCAGGTTGTCCTTGGCACCCATGGCCATGATGATGTAGAGCGGAGTGTCTGCGGTCAGAACCAAGTCAGTGCAATCGCCTGTGTTCAGCTTGCGATGGAAATCAGCCTTCATGCGACCTCCCGAGATGTCGTAAGACACCTCCGTCAGATCCTGCTTTGAATCGATGACGATCGAATAGCCAGGCAGGTTACATTGGGAAATGCTCACAGGCGTGGCACCGTTCATCACCGTGAGATTCATGGCGCAGAACATCTGGCCGAGACATTGGTAGCCCCCGCAGCCACCGCCGCAAGCACCACCGCAAGCAGTGCCGCATGCTCCACAAGCTCCGCAAGCGGTCGCTCCGCAAGCACCGCAGGCTGTGGCCCCGCAAGCACCGCAGGCTGTGGCTCCGCAAGCTCCGCAAGCGCCGCATGCAGTAGCGCCGCACGCTCCACAGGCACCGCAGGCTGTGGCTCCGCACGCTCCGCAAGCGGTGGCACCGCATGCTCCACAAGCGCCACAAGCTGTGGCGCCGCATGCTCCACAAGCACCGCAGGCTGTGGCTCCGCAAGCTCCGCAAGCGCCACATGCAGTAGCGCCGCACGCTCCACAGGCACCGCAGGCTGTGGCTCCGCACGCTCCGCAAGCACCGCAGGCTGTGGCACCGCAAGCACCGCAGGCTGTGGCTCCGCAAGCTCCGCAAGCGCCACAAGCTGTGGCACCGCAAGCTCCGCAAGCACCGCATGCAGTGGCTCCACACGCTCCACAAGCGGTGGCACCGCATGCTCCACAAGCTCCGCATGCTGTGGCTCCGCAAGCTCCGCAAGCACCACAAGCGGTGGCACCGCATGCTCCACAAGCTCCGCAAGCTGTGGCGCCGCATGCTCCGCAAGCTCCGCAGGCAGCACCGCAATAGCATGGGAACGTGCCGCCGCACGCACCGCAGGCACCGCAGGCGCCGCAGGCACCACAGGCGCCACCGCTGGGGCAGGTGCCATACTTGCCTCCAGAGCCGCTCAGCCGGCGCTTGGCGAGCTTTTGTGACTTCGCCTTCCATCCCTTGGGGCTCCCGGTCTTCACATCCTCGAAGATCGCATGCCTGGGGCATCCGATGCCACTAAGCCAGCGTCCGCCCGACGGCTCGAGCTGCGAGGCCAGAGGCTCTTCCATCCTCAAAAAAAGAGACAAAGGCGAGTGCATGTGACACGGTGGCGTGTGTGCGGTATAGACTGTGGTGCTTCTCAAAGCTGGCCCCCTCACTGCGAGCGAGCGGCAGGCGCTGGGACTCTTCGCAGGGCACTCCTTTCTTGGAGCTCCGGTAGCCCTGGACCTCGCCCAGAACTTCACCACGAAGGCAAGGTGGCATGAAAGGAGGGGCCAAGACCTCGGCGAGTTATGACATGATCATCAAGAGTTGATGGATTTTGATCGGGCTGCGGCACTCTGAGCCAGGGGCCGTGTAGTACTTATACTCTCCGGTGACAGGGTCGACGGCACCGTGACATTCGTCCAGCATCTCCTAAAAGCTGCAGGACATGGACACGGCCAAAAAGAAAAAGGGTCTGAGGCTTGCTTTAAGCGCTCGGCTCCTTCTTCACCTGCACCCCGGCCTTGAAAGGTGCCATGATGGGCGCGCCATCCAGGGCCCAGCCGATCTGCACTTCCGGGCCATGAGATGCCCAGTGCTCCGCTCCGCCCGATTTCCACCATGCACCCTGTTTGGGGACCGGGACGCCTAGAGAACGAAGGAGACAAATGGGAGGAGCATGGTAGTGGTAGTGCCCGAAAGTGTCGCCGTGACCACCGCAGTTGTCGATAACCCAAGTCATGCCCTCGCCGGGGTGCTCGTGGACGAAGAGCACGGAGTTCAAGGCAATGCCTACCACACCGCCCAGGGCCTTCGGGCTCTGGGGCGCGCCGACTGCACGCAGGGTGGGGGGAGCCGGCAGCCAGACCTTCAGCTCGCGCTCATAGGGAAGGAACGGGGACGGAGTTGGGGAGGCCGTATTACGGCTCCGGAGCTTGCGACCACAGGTGGCAGAGGATGCGCCGCAGCCACAGCCACAACCACAAGATGTGCCGCAGCTAGAGCCGCAGCCACAGGCTGTGCTGCCACAGCCACAGGTCTGGTGGCAGTCCGAGAGATCTACGCCAGGATGGTGGCCGAAAGTGAAGACATCTGTGCCATCCATCTTGGGCTTGTCTTTGTTGAAGCCAAGGCTGCACCACCTGTTGGCCGGGCAATCTGCCTTAACATGTAGTTCACCGTCATGCATGTGGAGCTCCCACGTGGCGGTGTCACCGCCCTGGCTGTGCGAGAAGGTCAAGCCTTTCGCCAGGGGCATCCCCACCAGCAGAAGGGTGCTGAGCGCACGGAGCGCCATTGAATTGCGAACCGAAGAAAAAACCTTCCCTAACTGCTTCTGCAATTTGAGCCCAGGATGCTAGAGACTACAGACACTGGCTGGGTGGGGCCGAACACCCATACCGACCGCGACTGAGGTCCCCGCCTCATCTCGGATGCTTCGTCTCCCAGAGAGCAGGCTCAGCAGTGGTCTGCGAAGTCTGCGAGAATCAGCACAGCTTGAAACAGAGGCATGTGTTGCTATGGCAGCTGTGGCGTCTGCGTTCGCATGACGTTTTCCCAAGGCCTTCGACTCCAAGAAGGGAAACTGTCCCTCAGTGGCGGTCCTGTTGAGTTCACTACCAAGACATGGACAAAGGTGGACCGCAGTCACAGGGCCTCAGTGTCCCCAAGTGCAAACTCCACGTCTCAGAGTTGCAGTGATCCTGACAGGCACAGCATGCACAGATTTCTTGAACGTGTCGCGGACTTTGGGGACGTCGCTACATTTTGCTGTTCACAGAGTCGATGATGGTGGTGATGATGATGATGATGTCTCTTTGTTTTGGGGAGGGGGCGGCATGGTTGCGGTGCTCGCGATGTAGGCCCGAGGTTATAGCTACATCGCTCTTCCTGCCTCGTCTCGGATCTTTCACGGCTCTAGATTGCCAGGCGGAGTAGTCGCAGGGCATGGCGAGCATCTGCCGCGTCGCTTTGCCGGCCGAAGGCCTCCTCGTGCTTCGCTAAGCTCTGGCTCAAGGGAAGGAGTCTTCGACGTCCGGGCCCGCATTCATCCACGAAGCTTCGCCGCGCGGCCAGAATCAGCCCGAGGGGAATCTTCGGAATCTCAGGAACGAAGGGAGAGAGGGCGAGCTGCGCCGCCTCCTTCCGCAAGATCCTGAGATTTTTGGCAGGACACGTCCGAGGGAAGAGCGCATTAAGAGGAGGGGCCAGGGAGACTGCCGTTCTTTTCCAAGTGTCAAGCCAACTCGCAGCAGCTGCCGCAGCGTTGTGTGGGCATTTCTGGAATCGACCACAGAAAGACGGCTCAGGCGGTGGAAGTGCCTTACCGAGACAAACTCCGACGAGAGCGAGAGCTGATTTTTGAGAAAGCCTTGCAGGCTTTCTAAGAGTCGAAAGGACTTTTGCTTGAACTCCAGGAAGACTTGGCGGTTGGAGCCCGAGTCTCTGATGTGGCCCACGGCGTCGAAGAGTCCTGCCACGTAGGCCCAGGTGATCTCGGCCCGGGAGAAAGGGCCCATCCACTTGCAGCCCTCCAAGGCAGCCCGGGGAGACGAGGTGAAGAGAGGCCAATGGGCTGCCAGCAGCAGCTGCGGCCTCGTGGAGAAACAGGATACTGTATACTGGGAAGGCCCAAAAAACCAGGACCCTCCCCGTCTACCCTCCGTTAGACCCCAAAAACACTTTTGGGACCATAGACCCCTATATTTGAGGGTCCTTGGAGGGTCCTGGTTCAATGTTCCTGTGTGTACCACCGAGGTGCTGCTTGAGAACTGCCTGGGCCGCCAGGGCGAAGGCGGCGCTTCGGCCCGGCGCTCCCCGCAGCTGCCACTTCAAGTTCCCCTTCGCGCGCAAAGGGCGCCCTCTGAGCTCCAGCAAGCGCCGGGCCCCAACAGCTTCGCTGGGCAGGATGCTGCCTGAAGCGAGTTGGAATTGGGAGGAGACGACGAGACGAAGAGCAGATGGCAGTTCCTGTTAGATGCTGTTCAGGCCGGGCCCCGTGCCGCCGAACAGCTGTTGGAAGAGCCGTAGTGCCTCTGGTTTTCTTGTAAAGCTGACCGTGTTGAGATGTTGGGGAAGGGATCGGGGTTTCCGGTCTTCGTGACAGCTGCAGGTGCAAAAGCTTCGATTTTAATATAGCCAAGCTTGCCTCGTGCTGCTCCCAGGGCAGCGTGAGCTCCAGCCGGTAGCTAGGTCCATCCTCGAAGACGTGGCCCAATCCATCGAAGAAGCCCGCACAGTACTGAAGCTTCCCCCTCCCGCCACGTCCGTGATCCTGCTCCCGGGGTTGGCCGGACACCACTTGAACAGCTGGGCCCTTCGAAAAAGGCCACAACCTCCTCATGCTCAGAGCTCCGAGCTCGGCCGGGGTAGCGACTGTGCCGGCAGCATGTTCGATCTCAAAGACCAGCCCAAGAATTCTCCGGGCCTGTGCTGCCGCCATCGGCGGACATGGCGACTGTGCCTAGCACTTGCTCCGCCTATGCGCCCCACGCATTGTCGCACGGACTGTCCGTGTTTGCGTGCATGTAACATGTAGATTGAATGCATGACCGCTGCGCACAGCAATCCCGCTTCGGGTGTTCTGAGCCCGTTTACCGCACAGTGCACGAATGCATCTACAGGATCCGATTGTCACAAACAACACCTCGGAGAACAAGCCCGTCGAACGGCGAGCAAAACAACAGCTCATCACGCAAACCTCGAATCCATGAAGCTCATAACCAACAGTCCGAAAGAGAACCGCCGCCCTCCGCGCTCCGACAGCGAGGCAACACCCCCTGCAGTGTATCTTGCGGTTCGAGTCTGCGAACGCTTGCATGTCAAGCCTACTCACTGGCGCCGAAACATCACATGCGCATGTCTTAGCTCTCCGATGCTCTCCTGAGTACTTCTTATCTCCCAGCATTTTCCTGTCTGCCCAGCCTTGTTGATTGCATGCAAACTAGAGATGCTTGGAGCTGCCCTCACTCTCGCGCGAAGACCTTGCTGAAGAGAGAGCTGTACCTGGCATGGCAATGATCGCGACTCTTGGCTTCATGCTCGAAGGCGCTCTGCTGCCTGGGGCATTTCAGCACGGTGAGCCAAAGCTCAGCATTGCAGCCCTCCCAGCTGTCCATGCACTCCTGAAAAACATCGCGAAACGAAAGCACAGAAACAGCGCACAGCCCCTTGGCCGCCCCCTGGCCTTGGTGATGATGCTCGGAAAGCGCCTCTGCAGGACTCTGATAAGGCCGACATGAGAACCGCTGCAATTTCTGCCCTTGCGCGCGCCCTTGCGCCTGTGGAGGCTATGCAGGATGAAGGTCTGGGCCTGCAGGCAGGCGCTCTCTCCCCCATAAGCCGCGCCGACTCCACTCCAGCCCGCTGCCTCGTCTCTGGGCGTATCCCCTCCAGCACGCTCCCCCTGCTGGAAGCCAGGGCATCAGAAGAGCTGCTTTTTTTTTGAGAGAGAGAGAGAGAGAGAGAGAGAGAGAGAAGGGGCGCCGGCCCTTCGCCTCACAGACCGGGCAGGAGCCGACGGAGTTCGGGTGCTCCTGGAACCTGGGCCCATATGGGGATTCTATGGGCCCATGGCCGAATCCCGAGTTTTTGTTTTGGGTCTTGGGCCAGCGGTTGACGCAGTGCAGGTGATATCCGTGGCCGCAGATGAACTTCACCTTCTTCTGCGGCTGAGTATACCTCTAGGCGGCGAGAGGTCCCAGAGATGTCTGCAGACTGCCCGTGAAAAGTGTGATCTTCTCTCAGCTTCAGGACTGGGTGGTTTCCACGCAACATGGGCACCTGGGCCGAATTCAACCGGAGTCTCAACACCGATATCTGTCCCTTCTGCCCGAATTTTCATGAGCCCCCGACAGGGAGAGGTCCTCTTTGCCCTTCATCAGCGCCTCCTGAACCTGCTGGACCTGATCAGGGCTTTCAGCTCCCGACCTCGATGGTGGTTAAGGCCGTCAGACTGGTACCAAAACTCGCAATGCGAGTGCTGAGTAGCATTTAAAACGGTGACTTGTTGGGGGGGGAGAAATATGCAGTGTGCTAATTAATGTGTGCTAATGTGTGCCGCGGATGCAGCTCCGCCTTCTGCCGACAGGCGTAGTACGTAGCTCGGTGCTTCCAGCTGAGAGCTGTGTCCAAGAGGCAGCAAACCTCAGTCAAGTCGGAGGTCGCTGTCTACAAGATCTTCTGTAGCTCGCTATGGTCGTTGCGACAAGATCTAGCATTTAGAATTCGGCGGAAGGAGGGCTCCTCCGGTGATGTCAGGGTTTCAAGAGCTACTGAGCAGCTGCTGCAGGAATCCAGAGTTTACAGTCAGGTGGATTGCCAGGTTTGGGAATGGTCACGCGTGTCAAGAACCGCTGCACGCAGGTCGTAGACGAGGTCTTCGCCGACAAGCTTCTAAAGCATCGACAGTATTAGGCCCGCTTGAGCTCCCTTCCTTCCGTCTCTTATTGAGCTCTGCTGACACGGACGGATCCCCGAGAAGGCGTCTCTAAGGCGTCCGTGTCGCAGTCACCTCCTCTTGTCAGCTCTCCTCTCCAGCTCAAGTCTCTCTCTCCCTCTCTCCTCTCTTCTGCCCTTTCTTCTGAGCAGCTGCGTCCCCGGCCAGCAAGAGGAAGAAGGTGACGCTCAGGAAGCCGGCGGAGCAAAGCAACATGGCCATCACCTGCAACAGGAAGCTGCCAGTGTCGCTCTCTATGGCCATGTGGCCTCCCCTCCCCTTCTTCTCCGCTGCTGCTTTCGTTGCTGCTAGTGAGGTGCGGTTGCGCTCGGTTTTGGGTCTGAATCTTCGAAGTGTCTTAACTGCATTCTTCTCCTATTCTGACCGGCACTTCTGAATTCAGTGAAACTGTGCTCTCAACATCGGACTGTCCTGAATTTCCTCACACCTTGGATTGCCCCAACTTACGTCTGCTTCTTAAACACGATGAGAAACGTGTGTAGGCAGTGTAGGGTTGCATTGAGGCTGAGGACTCAACACAGCGGGTCCCGAAGCAGATCAGGCTTTCACCCCCCGAAAAGTGATACCCGAAGCGAGCCAGCGGCGCCACTGCACGTCCTTCTTCACCCAAGTCCACTTTGGAACTTGGCGCCTCTGACAGGGGGGGCCCCCGCGTACATGGCATTGAGTGCGTGCAGTGTGGCTCAGTGTGTCTGCTGAGCCTGTTGAGCGACGTTGATGGAGCGGAACTTGGAGGCGGTGCTGAGGGCCTCGGCTGACGAATGCCAAGCTCTCTCTCCTTTCCCCTCAGACTTGGCAGCCGGCCACAAGCCAAAGGCATGAGAGCAGCTTGCAAGACAGCCTGCCAGACGCTCTCTCAGGGCGCTTTCGGAATCGTCGCTCTGAGACTCTGAGTTCAATGGCATCTTTTCAAGAGTCCGGCTCGGCCTCAATGAAAAAACACACGAAAGCTTCCCGAGAAACATGGCCAGGCTTTCCCCTCGGCCGCGAGCCCCGCAATAAAATGCGAAGTCGAAGCCTCGGCAAGACAGCGCTCCAGTCATTTCAAACGCAGATCTCGAAGCCATGGGCCCAATGCCATCATGACGGGCGCCCGGCCTTCACGTCATTGAAGCGGATCTAGACCCACGCTGAGTCTGATGGGGAATGGGAAATGGCGGCGGGATCAGAGAACTCAGATCAACTCACTCATGCACTTCTTGACGACACGTTTAGCTCGCATCGGCTTCGCTTTTCCAAGCAATTCGCCTAGGCCTAGGACCACTTCGTTAACTGGGCCATCAGAGGCCCACGAAACGGAGGGGGACCCCTCACACCCGGAGCTCAGACGGAGAGGTCCCTGCGAGACCTTCTGCCGGTGCCGCAGAAGGCACGGAGCTGACGGAGCTGAGAGCTCCGGGAGGCTCAGGTGCCAGATCGCTGGGAGCTTCCTGTGCTTCGAAGCCTTCCGCCGCTTGCGCCTCGAAGAGGGCAAGAAGGGCCCCGGGCGATCTGGTCTTGTGTAGGAGAGAGGACGAAGACCAATGCCCGAGTTTCTGGTATGGTTAACCCTAAACCCAAAACCCCTTTGCTCGTGGCACTCTGAGACTCTTTTCGAGCCTTGTCCTCTGGCTGCCCGAGGCTCGCCTGGGAGGCGGCCTCATGGGAAGAGTTTTGGGCTAGGCCTTTTTTGGGTCTTAAGGCCGTCGGCGCAGGGGACCATCTCCGATCAGTGTGTCCGTAGCGTGAGTGATAGGAAGTCGAAACCAGGCTGCGCCCCATGCACGACGAAGAGTCATCCGTCTCTGCTTCTTCAATGAAATGGTCTAGAAACACTCGTCGTTTGTTGTATCCAAGGGCCGTAACATGCTAAATAACTGTGTAGGAACACTCTAGGGAACACTGCTACTCTCTCTATATCCCCACAGAGGATTTCGAGGGCCAGGCCGCTGGCAAGGTCGTGCTTTCGGCACTGAAGTTCCGTCGCGGAACCTGAGAGGATGAGGGCTTCTGAGAGAGGCTTTTGGTCTTCCCTCACTTTTTTCTTGAGGCTTATAATTACAGGAAGGCTTGGGATTCATTAGGTTAGGCTGTGAGCTGGCCTGAGACACCATCTGCACCACGTTCTCCCATGGCTCCTCCATGACCTCGGCACAGAAGCACAGCCTCCCACCTGCGCAGAGGAAGGGCGCCGAGCACGAGGCCACGTTGAAGAGCGAAGCGATAAGCCTTTGAAGAGCAGGGCAACTCCTAAGAACTGGTAGGTCTCGGTATAATTAGCGGCCGCGGCGGTTCAACAGCGCGAGAGAGAGAGAGAGAGGGAGAGAGAGAGCCTACCTAAGGGAGGGGAAAGGAGACTCCGACCCGAAGAAAGCGCCGAGGCAGCGGCCTTGGGAGGGTTTTATTTGGTGGCCCAGCCCCGAGGCCCGGGCTCCCGAAGCGGCTCGGGTCGGGGAAAGCCCAACCTCTGGCGACTATGGGGTTTGTGGGGGGAGGTTACCGGGGGCTTTTTGGAGGGTTTGGTTATAGGATTCTGGCTTTCAGGGTTCTGGCGGTTTTGTTGGTTGATGCTTTGAGGGTTCAGCGATGGCAGAGAACGGGAACTGACAAGAATCAGTGGCAGGAGCTCGTCATGAGCCGAAATGCAATCAACAAGAGAGCAACCAAAAATCCGTGCAAAAGCTGCGCTTGGGCTCCCGAACGTCTCCAGGCTGGTGCCCTGCTCCTTTTGAAGAAGGGGCCGAAGGACACCCTGAATATATATATATATGCATGCATGCATGCATGCATGCATGGATGGATGGATGGATGGATGGATGGATGGATGGATGGATGGATGGATGGAATGAATGTATGTATGTATG